GGTGTTATGTGGGCGAACCGTGGTGCGCCCACGATCACTCGCGCGGCCGCATTCTGGACTAGCTGAAGTCTCCGTATTCCAGGCATTTCACTGATAATTATGGAGGTAGTTCACAGAGATCAAGGCTAGTAGCCTGTGAGTGCCTGATCTTCCATTAATGTCATTGGTGCCTTCTAATATCATTTAAACTTGTAACCTTACCCCACATTATTTGGCAGTAGTGTCTTCGAGTCAGTGTTGACTCCTAGCAAGTGTCTGGACTTGATCTCTGCAGTTTAGTTGGCAAGTTTTTTTTTCCAAAAGTGATGCAAACATCTTCAAGGAGAAAACAGCTCAGCAAACACCAACAAGCCAATATTTCAATCCTAAATTTCAGATATTTTCTGTTTTTGCTACTTCATTATTACACCTAAATGTTTGCAGGCATTCTAGGATATAATTTAATTAATTTATTAATGTTCATCTGCCATATGTACTCTGAAGGGAAATGAACCCATTTTAAAGCTATCAAAAGAAAGTCAAAATCCAGATGAATTGCAGTTAGGTTAGAAGCTCCCATAGAGTTCAGTGGCAGGAGTTCTGCTTGCTTAAGAAACGGATTCCGGATTTCTCAATCCAACACAAAGATTATCATCACCTTAAAATGTACTTCTTTTCTTTTTCCTTCTTGTGACAACAGATTCAATGTTAAATAATGAACTACCAGCAGAGGGCAGGCTTAAACTATCAGAAATATTTTTGTTGTACAGCAGGCAATTATCCCTACAATAAAGTAAAATTTATTGCCATTATTCCATGCTTGCCGTTCCATAGATATAATGCAAAACTATTTGAATACCTTAGCATTCATTTTGCCTGGTGGGTATAAAAACTGATTTATTTATTTTTATTTCTTTATTTATATCCCATCTTTATTATTTTTATGAATAACTCAAGGTGGCAAAGACACACAATACTCCTTCTACTCATGTTTTACCCTATAACAACAACCCGGTGAAGTGAGTTGGGCTTAGAGAGAGTGATTGACCCAAAGTTCTGATCGCCTTCTGCCGATCACCTCCCTCCGACCAATAAGATCGCACAGACTGGGCCTCCTCCGAATCCCATCCGCCAGTCAATGCCGACTGGCGACTACACGGAGGAGAGCCTTTTCTGTTGTAGCTCCGACCCTGTGGAATGCCCTCCCCATCGAGATACGCACTCTCACCACCGTCCAGACCTTCCGCACAGCCCTTAAACCTGGCTATCCCGCCAGGCCTGGG